AGGAGGAGGAGGCACAGGAGCGCTACGGTGTGGGAAGCGCCGGTAGTAGGGGAGTGTCTGGTCAAAGGTAACTTCACGAGAGTGGTAGAAGCAGTGGTGTGTCGGGTGGTAGAACAGTTAGCCAGAGGCATCAAGCAGAATCCCCAGGAAGACACAAGGAAGGGTGCGGGCTGAGAGCTTGTCCGTGCCAGTGTCGCTGACGTGAGAAAGGCTGCCCCAGACGTAGAACGCAGACGAGTCACCAGGAGACCAGGTCCAGAGGAGGGTCGGCAAAACCTGTGGCCCCTGGGAGTGCAGCCACAGGTTAAGCTGGTGAGCATGGCGAACGGCCAGAGAAAATGGGGTGCACTGGCGTGGACCATGGAGGTGCGAGCCACCTCCGTGATCAAACCAATGCGTTGCTCAGCGACCCCATTCTGCTGTGGGGAGTTTGGCAGTGTGTAATTTTGGCGGATGCCCTCCGCACGACAGAACCGTACTAAAGTGCCAGTGGCGAACTCGCCACCTCGGTCAGAGTGTAAGCGGCCTACACGTAGGCGGTGGTGGGTGCGAACAGTGAGAAGTCACGAGAGGAGAACCGTATGCTCGTTGGCCTTCCGCTCCAACGGGAACACTGTGGTGAAGCCCGAGAAGTCGTCAACGACGACTAGAAAATAGCGCTCTCGACTCAGACCATCGACCGGGGCAGGGCCCCAGACGTCCATGTGGAGTGTCTGTAGTGGTGCTGTGGTAGGAGGAAACGAGGAGGAGTGAGGGGCGGCGCGCTGCCAGCCCTCGACGCAAGACGTGCACAGTGGCGCTACCGACGTAGGCAGGGCGGGGAGCGATGCAGGGAGACCAGTGACGAGGCCGTACTGGGACACGTGCCGAAGACGCAAGAGTGCAGGGTGACCTAAGCGGTGGTGCCACTGTAGGGTCGGTTATCCTATGGAGCGACAGGAGCAGGATGCGGCAACCGCTGAAGCAGCAGTCGGCAGGAACTCAGTATGCATTGTAAAGAGACCAGACCCTGGGTCGCGCTCAAACGTGGCTAAGTGCCGACCGGTGGCTGTGTCTGTGCAAGCGGCGTGTCTCTCGCAGCCAGGGAATGTAGTGGTGACGCCTCGGTCCTGAAGGTGATCGACACCCACTAGGTTCCTGGCAAACGAGGGGATGTGCAGACCGATGAGGGAGCCGGAGGGGACAGCTGGACATGGGAGAGTGGTGGTGCTACGTGCGACAGCTGTGGCAGAGGAGTCTGCTAGTGCGACGCGGGCGGGCGCAGGAAGCGGAGTGAGAGCAGTGTTGTCCCTAAAGTAACAACGAGATGCGCCCGAGTTAAGGACAAAAGAGAGGGCTGCCACAGGAGGGGCAGGGGAGGAGCCTAGGGGACACATAGTAGAGGCTCCTAGACTAGACACAGTGGTGGGACCTAGACCCCTAGGCCCCAAGGACCCTGGTCCTCCAGAGAAACCACACTAGCCCCAAGGCAGTGACCACCCCAGGGCAGCACCTCCAGAGCCTCCACCTCGCTCAGCACCCCCAAGACCCCACTGCGGCTGCCGCTGCTGCTGCTTCTGCCACTGTTGCTGCTGCTGCTGTGGCTGCGGCACTGGTCAGAGAGCCCGGAACCAGACGTCAAGGTCATGGAGCCAGAAGCCTAGGAGGTAACTAATGTGATCCTCTAGGAGCGTGTAGTCTAGGTGCGGGCCCACCAGCTGTAGACGGTGGGCGAGAAATCGGAGAGCGGAGGGAAGTGGTGACTGTGGCCAGAGCAGTGGCAGCGAGCATGAGGCTAGTAGCAACAGTGGCCAGTGACAGTAAGGCGATAGTAGCGGCTAGCTGGTGGCTGTCGGTAGGCTAGGAGCTGCTAGGAGGAGTAGGGAGAAAACGAGGAGGAAGTACGCACGAGAGGATCTACTAGGAGCAGTACGCCAAGGAGCTAGCTAAGAGGCACTAGGACTGGCGGCACAGGACGAAGGATAGTCCACAGGGCACAGGGGACTCACGTGGCAGACGGCCGACAGGCGACTGGCGGCTGGCGGCTGGTGGTCAGCGGCCGGCCGCGAGTGGTGGCAGCTGGCGGCTGACGACTGAGGGTCAGCGGTCGGCTGCTGGCAACTGGTGACTGGTGCTGGCGGCAGGTGGCCAGCTGTGTTAGGATTAAGGACGGAGTCTAGGTGAACTTAGGAGCTAGAATTACTCAAAATATAAATCCGAAATTCTGGACAGAAAAGTTGTCTTCACAAGAAATGACGTGGACAAAAAGGAGCTGTTGGAATGTCATCAAAATCGGATATGTTGTATCTTGTAATCTTAGCTACCGTTCTCAATTCGAATCACATCGATTGATGGAGTATTCGCGACGCTATGTCTTTCGACGCACTGGGGGGTAAGCTGTAGGAGGAGAACTTAAAGCCCCCGTCTCATATTACAGAAACCCAACCAAACGTTAAATGGTTGGAACAGGGTAACCTGGGTTGGAAATGACGAGACAGGAGGTTGGTATGAGCTGGAATGTGATTGGTCGTCACACCAACCAGAGCCAAACAAACTCCCGGCGACGACCAAACCCAGCGCACAGGTTGGGTTGGCGATTGCATGCGACACCAGCCCAATTGTAAAACTGCTGGGTGACTCCGGAGGGGAGGGAACCAAGAAGAAAATCACTCACCAGGAAATACGAGACAGCAGAAAAGTAGCCACCAGGAAACCACGACACACCCCGTGCAGATAGAGCCAGGACAGAAAGCAGCGACGCAAGCAGGAGTTACGGCGTGAGAGTGCGCCACGGGACAACACGCACCGCGCTGCCTCACGCATTCACACACCGCGTGCGCTTCAACCACCTCGACGCGGCGGGGCAGTGCGAGCTCGAAATATGAATATTAGGCTTGGAGATAAGCAGGGCTGACTGCGTCAACAGAGACGCCCAAGCGTGGCGCAGTCCACTTAGTGTTTACATGACGTCGCATCGCGCGAAAGCCACACCAATCCGTCGAGCCGACCAAAATGCTGCAATGAGCAAAAGAGTGTTTACGCTAGGGAAAGCAGGGAGGTCAAACAGAGAGACATGAAATAGCACAACCCGCGCGCAGGGTTGTATCACTTTCAACGGACCAACATAGGCGTTAGTACTGCTCACGTTACCACTCGTGACCTAGCTCCCACCCACACTGGAACGCACGGCTTCCGGCCAACAGCGACGTCCATAGCCCACGCCGCACTGGCGAGACAGCCCTCTTGCCACGGTATTGCGAACTGCCTGACCACCGTCGATCCCACCACGCCAAATCTTCGTTCGAGAAGCGCATTATCGTCGCGCACATGCCCGTGTTGTAGCCCGAGGCGCATTCAGAACCCATCGCCCCCACCAGAACCTCGCCGCCACTACGAACCAAACACGCAGCTGGTGAGTCGCAACCCATGTTCGGGTACTAACCAGCAACGCACTCGGCGGACGCAGTCACGGGACCGCGTGAACTTGAGCCATCAGGCAACAGCTCCGAGAACCCAATGTTCACATCCACAATGGATTGCACGCCGGAGTCACACAGCAGGTGAGCAACAGCTGTAGGTGCACTGCTGTACACTTTCCTGTCCCCACTCCTGTGCAGCCAAGCCAGGACAGCTGTACGCTCCTCTGTCCCCTTTCTTTTGCAGCTAAAACTGCCGGCGGTCCAGCCAATAGGCAATCAGCCACCTGTGTGGTCCAGCCAAACCCACACTGCTGGTGTCTTCTCTGTCCCCTTTCCAATGCAGCCAGGCCACGACTGCTGGACACCCCACCCACCTACCCCTCTCTTGTGCAGCCATGAGTGGACTGCTGTACACCCTCTGCCCCCTTTCTCGTGCAGCCAAACCAGCACTGCGGTAAACTCCTCTGTCCCCTTTCTGGTGCAGCCAAGCCAGCACTGCTCAACTCCCCTCTAACCCCTTTCTTGTGCAGCCAAGCCCCGACTGCTGTGCTCCCCTCTGCCCCCTTTCTGGTGCAGTCAAGCCTGGATTGCTGTGTTCTCCTCTGTCCCCTTTCTTATGCAGCCAAGCCTGCACTGGTATTAGGCAACCAGCCGCCTGTGCGGTTCAGCCAAGTCCGCACTGCTGCTGTCTTCTCTGTCCCCTTTCCAATGCAGCCAGGCCAGGACTGCTGGACACCCCACCCACCTACCCCTCTGTTGTGCAGCCACGACTGGACTGCTGTACTCCCTCTGCCCCCTTTCTCGTGCAGCCAAACCAGCACTGCCGTAATGTCCTCTGTCCCCCTTCTGGTGCAGGCTGCAGCCAAGCCAGCACTGCTCAACTCCCCTCTAACCCCTTTCTTGTGCAGCCAAGCCCCGACTGCTGTGCTCCCCTCTGCCCCCTTTCTGGTGCAGTCAAGCCTGGACTGCTGTGTTCCCCTCTGTCCCCTTTCTTATGCAGCCAAGCCTGCACTGGTATTAGGCAACCATCCGCCTGTGTGGTTCAGCCAAGTCCGCACTGCTGCTGTCTTCTCTGTCCCCTTTCCAATGCAGCCAGGCCAGGACTGCTGGACACCCCACCCACCTACCCCTCTGTTGTGCAGCCACGACTGGACTGCTGTACTCCCTCTGCCCCCTTTCTCGTGCAGCCAAACCAGCACTGCTGTAATGTCCTCTGTCCCCCTTGTGGTGCAGCCAAGCCAGCACTGCTCAACTCCCCTCTAACCCCTTTCTTGTGCAGCCAAGCCCCGACTGCTGTGCTCCCCTCTGCCCCCTTTCTGGTGCAGTCAAGCCTGGATTGCTGTGTTCTCCTCTGTCCCCTTTCTTATGCAGCCAAGCCTGCACTGGTATTAGGCAACCAGCCACCTGTGCGGTTCAGCCAAGTCCGCACTGCTGCTGTCTTCTCTGTCCCCTTTCCAATGCAGCCAGGCCAGGACTGCTGGACACCCCACCCACCTACCCCTCTGTTGTGCAGCCACGACTGGACTGCTGTACTCCCTCTGCCCCCTTTCTGATAAATGTGTAGTGTTCTATGGTGTAGTTTGCTCTAGCTGATTGTGGGCTATTGGGATTTGGGCAAAAGATGTGGGTTGGTTGGCTAGGTTTGATCTCGTTACCTTTCCAACCCATACAACCCCAAACCCACTACAACATCTTTGATGTTGCAGATGTGGCACTTGGGAGTGTTAGGGTTTGGTCCAGGGCGAGGGTTGGTGGTGTTTGACAATCTCATTCTCGAACTTTTCCAGATCGAACTGCTTCCCTTCTCGTTTTTACTAGGTGATTCATGGCTGCCTAGCCAAATTACCAGAATATCCCCTCACACTGATTTCGTCATAATCGGCGGCTCAGATCTTGGTTATGAACGTGCTTTACCATTCTGGAAAGTAGAGATTAAGACCTTTCCAACGCGTATAAGCTCATTTCTAGAAGTTACTTGAGCTGCACGCAATGTTCTGTTGAGATCGTCAAACTTAATCTCTAATTAGTTCTCTCCAGATTTGCACGATTTCCATCAGTGGTATCAGAGCCACGGTTAGAGGACGTTCTTTCCTCCATTGGAAGAGATCTAGAGAGGCTTGAAGTGCTCCAGATCTAGGGTTTGACATGGCCCAAAAGTTGGATGGCCCTCCTAGGTTTACCGGCTCGGACTTTTCGCTATGGAGGTTCCAGTTCACACTATGGCTAGGTATTAAGGACCTAGAAAGTGTGTTGGATGGATCGGAGAAGCGACCACGAGCTGACTCTGGGGAGGCGTCTACTGGAGCAACCAGCCAAGTGGGATCCGGGGCTGGGGGAGCGTCGTTGAGTGGGGTGAAGGAAGGAGGAACTGCTGCAACTCGAACTGGAAGGTCGCAACCAAGTAGCGAGGAGTTGCTCAAAGCTCAAGAAGCATGGGATCGGAAGGATCGCCAGGCTTTTCAGTACCTGTGTTGGGGTTTGGAGGGGCAACTTGAGCTTCTTAAGATGCTGATTGACCTGAAGGGGAAGGAAGGTGCAGCGGCTGCAGCTTGGAAAAGAGTACAAGATAGGCACTTGCAGAAAGGGCTTCTAAGCGTGCTTACTTGGCGGAAGCGGTTTTACACCATGGAGCGGAACTATGGGGAGGGGGAGACCATGGTTCAGTATCTCCAGAGGGTGGATGAGAATGTGCGGGCTTTGGAGGAGCTGGATTACACGGTAGATGAGAAGGAGATCATCTATACTGCGCTCCAAGGGTTGGATCAAGCGGCTAATGAGGCATTACTACAGTACCTTCACCTCGAGCAACAGAAATGGACCAAGGTGTGGATTTGGGAGGTTCTAATTTCTGATGAGGCTCGCAAGGTTGATGCTGGAAGAGGTCTAGAAGGAGGCATGGGTGCAGCAAATAAAGCTTCCTTCAGGAAAGGCTATCAACAGCAAGGAGGTGGGGGGAAGAAGAAAGAGTTGGACAAATGCCTTGTGCCCGGATGCAACAAAAAACACTCTTGGAAGAGTTGCTGGAGTAGGCCTGAGGGATGGAAGCCTCACGGCTACTCTGGAGAGGCCCCACCAGTGACCAAACCTGATTGGGTGGAGAAAAGGATGAAGAAGGGGCTCTGGAATAAGAAGGGCAGCAAGGGAGCAACGGCCGCAGCTGCTAAGGATGAGAAGGGGAAGGGCCAAGACGACTCCTCCGATGATGGTTTCTCGTTTCTCATGCTAGGGCAGGATGCAGCTCTTGCTGGTCGTGCATTGGCTGATCCCAACTTCCTGGTTCTAGACTCTGGAGCAACATCTGGGATGCTTCCTCGTCGTGATCTCTTCACCTCCTACCATCCTCTCCCACCAAATTCGAGGAACGTGATTGTTGGGAGCGGAGATTTGCTGCAAGCAATTGGCATCGGCACGATCACCATTAAGGGGAAGGAGGGGGAGCTAGTGGGTGTGAAGGGGGTCCTTCATGTCCCTGGTTTGGCTGCAAACCTCCTTTCATGCTCGCAGCTGGCTAAACAGGGATACATCTGCACTTTCACTGAGGGAGGGTGTACTGTTAGAAAGGGTGAAGCTGTGGTGATGGAGGCAAAGCTGGACAAGGGTTTATACCTTGTCCCAGCTTGTGTGCCTAATTGTTACAAGGCACATATGGTTTTTTCTGAGGAAGCCGCTTGTAGCACTCGCTGGAGGCAGGTGGAAATGGTGTCACCTGAGTTGCTACACCTTCGCATGGGGCACGCGGGGAAGCAGCAACTGCTGGAGTGTGTGAAGAAGGGGGAGCTGAAGGGGGTGGAGGTCAAGGAAGGAGCTGGGCAGCACAGCAAATGTCCCGACTGCACGTCTGGAAAGCTGCCTAGAACCTCATTCCCTATCTCCTCTAATCATGCCTCGACTCCCCTTGAGCTGGTGCACACGGATGTGTGTGGACCGATGCAAACTCCTGACCGGGAAAAGGGCAACAGATACTTTGTCACCTTTCTTGATGACTTCAGTCGACTTAGCTGGGTCATCTTGGTGAAGACCAAGGATGAGGTGGCAAAGATGTTTAGGCGGTGGATACGCTATGTGGAGAGGGAGTCAGGGGCCAAGGTGAAGGTGTTAAGGTCAGATCGGGGTGGAGAGTACCTTGGGAAAGAACTTCAAACCTTCTTGGAAGAAAAGGGTATTACCCACCAGCTCTCTGTACCTTACACGCCGCAGCAAAATGGGGCAGCGGAGCGGATTAACAGGACCTTGACCGATTTGGCTCGGGCCATCCTTTCCCATGCCGAGCTTGATAACACTTGGTGGGGGGCAGCAGTGCAGTATGCCAACTGGGTGAAGAACAGGATGGGCAGCAAGGGGCTTGGAGGCAAGAGCCCATACTCCTTATGGACAGGGAAGGTGCCGAATGTTTCCATGGCACGAGTGTGGGGGTGCATGGCACAGTATAAGGTACCTGACCAGCAAAGGAGGAAGCTAGATCCTAAGGCACAGTGGGGGATCTTCCTTGGGGTTTCTGAGAGGAGCAAGGCTTGGGTGCTGTGGAGTGTAGCTGACCAGCGTGTGATGGAGAGCCGTGATGTGGTTTTCCATGAGGGGCTGAATTTTAAGGGGTGGAAGGAGGATGGTACAAGCCAAAGTGGGACTTCCATTCAAGACCCTCATACGGCTTCTATCTTTGAGGGGGCATGGGAGGACCTTGGAGATGAAGGGGAGGAGCAGCAGGAGGAGCCAGAACCAGCTGATCCTAACCATGAGGAGTCCCGAGAGACAGATTCTACCCCTCAGCCAGCCACGCAGGCCGATGCGCGTGATGATCAGCCGGAGCAGCATGTGCCTTCAACTCCATCGAGAAGCAGTTGGCAGCAGTTGTTGAACCAGCAGCTGTCCAAGACTCCAAGGACTCCAATGAAGAGGGTGACTTGGGAGGAGAAGCTGCGGAGGCTGGAAGAAGGAGAGGCAACACCTCTGCGATGCAGTGCTCGAATTTTCCAGCCACCTGAAAGGTTTTCACCGGGGCACATTGCATGCATGCGTGATCATCTTGTGTCTGATTTGGATGATTGCATGCTTGTGGACATGCATGGGCATGAGTATGCTCTTGATGTGTGTCTAATGGGTCAGGTGCATGAGCCTAGGTCAGTCCATGAGGCGCTGAACCGTCCCGAATGGGTTGAGTCTATGCATGAGGAGCTTGAGTCTCACAAGGTAAATGGATCATTTGAGCTGGTTGATCCAGCCGTGGTACCACCTGGTTTGGAGGTCCTCAGGTGTCAATGGGTTTGGAAATACAAGCATAACCCTGATGGTACCATTGAGAGGCCTAAGTCCAGATTGGTGGTGATGGGAAACACGCAGAAATTGGGAGTACACTATGAAGAAGTGTACTCTCCAGTTGGGAAGCATGCGACCTTGAGAGGTATGCTTGGAATTTCAGCTGCTTTGGGGCTTGATATCCATCATATGGATGTCAAGACAGCCTTCCTCCATGGGGATTTGGAGGAAGAGCTTTACATGCGGCAGCCCCCTGGTTTTGATGATGGCTCTCATCGAGTGTGTCGCCTCAAAAAGTCCATTTATGGGCTAAAGCAAGCCCCACGACAGTGGTACCTAAAATTTGATGAGGCTCTCATGGATTTTGGGTTTGAGAGATCTGATTGTGACCCTGCCTTGTACCACTTTGTGAGAGATGAGGAGCGGATCTCCTTATTCCTCTATGTGGATGACCTTTTGCTCCTAAGCTCTAGCAAGGCTTTGCTAGATCGAGTGAAAGACTTCTTGTCCTCGCGTTTTCGCATGAAGGACTTGGGGCAGGTGAAGTACTACTTGGGAATGCAAATTGAGCGTGATGAGAGTGGTATCTTGATTCATCAAGAGAGGTACATTCTTAATATGCTTCAGTCCTTTGGTCTATCAGAGGCCAACCCCGTGCGTACTCCTCTCCCAACAGGCTTTGATGTGCATGCCTATGAGGATGAACCCTTGCTGCGAGATGAGCTGGTCAAGCTCTACCAAAGCATTGTGGGATCCCTCATGTATGCTTGTACTACCACACAGCCACAGATAACCTTTGCAGTCTCACAGCTATCTAAGGTCGCCTCTTGTCCTAAAATGTTTCACTTGCAGGCCGCTAAGAGAGTGCTGAGGTACCTGAAAGGTGGTGTCAAGTCAGGTATCTTCTTCCAAACACAGCCCCAGTCTCAGGTCCAGCTAGTTGGCTTCAGTGATGCTGACTATGCTGGAGATTCCGCAAGTCACAGGAGCCACAGTGGGTATGTGTTCTGTCTGAATGGGGCAGCTATCTCTTGGCAGAGCAAGAGGCAGCCCGTGGTAGCACTCTCTACCACTGAGAGTGAGTATATAAGTCTGTGTAAGTGCATTCAGGAGGGTGTCTGGCTGAGGCGTTTGTTTGGGGAGTTTGGCCATGATCATGCTGGTGGTGTGCCTGTGTTTGTGGATAATCAGTCTGCCATTGCCCTTGCACAGAATGCATGCTTGCATGGCCGCACCAAACACATGCAGGTCCGGTGGCATTTCATTCGGGAGATGGTAGCTGCGGGTGAGGTGATTTTGCAGTGGTGCCCCACCAACCGTCAGGCTGCTGATATTCTTACCAAGTCTCTTCCATTTGAGCGTCATGGTGTGTGCATGACCTTGTTCGGGATGCAGCCCCATGATGACAGAGTTCCCGCAGCAGATGCCGGCGTCTTGGTGCTCCTCTCCTTGGCGGACTCCATGCTCTGGGTGGCCCCAACCCATGGGCACGGGGGAGTGGTGTGAAGTCTTTTGCCCTATGGTGTTGAGCCACACCCAGCACGAGCAAGGGGGAGTGATAAATGTGTAGTGTTCTGTGGTGTAGTTTGCTCTAGCTGATTGTGGGCTATTGGGATTTGGGCAAAAGATGTGGGTTGGTTGGCTAGGTTTGATCTCGTTACCTTTCCAACCCATACAACCCCAAACCCACTACAACATCTTTGATGTTGCAAATGTGGCACTTAAGAGTGTTAGGGTTTGGTCCAGGGCGAGGGTTGGTGGTGTTTGACAATCTCATTCTCGAACTTTTCCAGATCGAACTGCTTCCCTTCTCGTTTTTACTAGGTGATTCATGGCAGCCTAGCCAAATTACCAGAATATCCCCTCACACTGATTTCGTCATAATCGGCGGCTCAGATCTTGGTTATGAACGTGCTTTACCATTCTGGAAAGTAGAGATTAAGACCTTTCCAACGCGTATAAGCTCATTTCTAGAAGTTACTTGAGCTGCACGCAATGTTCTGTTGAGATCGTCAAACTTAATCTCTAATTAGTTCTCTCCAGATTTGCACGATTTCCATCACTTTCTCGTGCAGCCAAACCAGCACTGCTGCAATGTCCTCTGTCCCCCTTCTGGTGCAGGCTGCAGCCAAGCCAGCACTGCTCAACTCCCCTCTAACCCCTTTCTTGTGCAGCCAAGCCCCGACTGCTGTGCTCCCCTCTGCCCCCTTTCTGGTGCAGTCAAGCCTGGACTGCTGTGTTCCCCTCTGTCCCCTTTCTTATGCAGCCAAGCCTGCACTGGTATTAGGCAACCATCCGCCTGTGTGGTTCAGCCAAGTCCGCACTGCTGCTGTCTTCTCTGTCCCCTTTCCAATGCAGCCAGGCCAGGACTGCTGGACACCCCACCCACCTACCCCTCTGTTGTGCAGCCACGACTGGACTGCTGTACTCCCTCTGCCCCCTTTCTCGTGCAGCCAAACCAGCACTGCTGTAATGTCCTCTGTCCCCCTTGTGGTGCAGCCAAGCCAGCACTGCTCAACTCCCCTCTAACCCCTTTCTTGTGCAGCCAAGCCCCAACTGCTGTGCTCCCCTCTGCCCCCTTTCTGGTGCAGTCAAGCCTGGATTGCTGTGTTCTCCTCTGTCCCCTTTCTTATGCAGCCAAGCCTGCACTGGTATTAGGCAACCAGCCGCCTGTGCGGTTCAGCCAAGTCCGCACTGCTGCTGTCTTCTCTGTCCCCTTTCCAATGCAGCCAGGCCAGGACTGCTGGCCACCCCACCCACCTACCCCTCTGTTGTGCAGCCACAACTGGACTGCTGTGCTCTCCTTGGTCCCCTTTTTTGTGCAGCTAAGGCTTGACTGGTTACGGGCAACCAGCACGGTGTTTGGTCTAGCCGTATAGAGACTGCAGGTCCCTTCCATGCCACCCTTCCATATGCCACCTTTCCATATGCCACCTGGGCGAACGCAGCCCTGCATATGGCGCAAGAGCATCGAGAGAGGCTAGAGGAGCACATGGAGCAAGCGGGCCGAGCCAGCACGGTAACGACTAACGACGACGCCGCCGATCAGAGGTGCGCTGGAACATCGGCGTTGGGGTTATTAGGGCGAAGCAGTACATGTGTTTGGGCAGGTGGCTGATGTGGTCATCGGGAGGCAACAGTCGTCATAACGGTGCGCCTGTTGTGATGCTAGTTGAGCACCAACTTTCCATGCATGTCTCATGCCCAAAACATCTCAGGGAATCGGACGAGACTCCCGGTGTCGAGTCAACCAATGGCACGGCAGTGAGCGCACTAGGGAAGATGCTGGGGGGGATTTTCAAGACACGGCACCAGAAGCCTCAGTCGGTTAGAAGTCATGCAACAATCCCACTGGCGTCAATGCGCTGTGGGCTGACTGCCCTCGAGCCGCAGGGGAAGCCGGCCAGCACGAACGACGTCCTTTGCGTGCTGTTAGTGGAGGCAAAGGACGCGGTTGATGCGATGCTCGCAGCGGCAGCCGCGGCAGGTGAGGAGCCATTGCCCCCTGTTTATCAAGCACAACTCCTAACCTCACAAAACACCCCCCTTCCCTTCTCCCCTCCCCCTCTACCCTCCCCCCCCCCCTCACGTGCCCCATGTGTTCCATCGTGCCTAGGACCATACACAAGCTTATCAAGCACATGTGAGGGCTCATTGTATGCCGTGAATGTTGTCACCCCGCGGTGCCCTTATCAGCGGATGATGGACCCGAAACCCTACAGCAAGTAAGGCTACACCTAGATGCCCTTATCGACCAATTCAAAGAGGAGCGTGGATTGACCGATACCACCATCAAAGACCTGCTGGAGGGGACGCCACGAAAGGCGACCGGGTTCCGCTACGACATGGAGAAGTATCACAAGACCACGGAGGGCAGGGTCGAGCCCATTGGGGGCTTTGGGCATGGAGGGGCACGACAGGGTCAACGCTGCAAGATGCTGAGGCAACTAGGTGAGCCTAAAATTGTACTACGTGAAGACCCGATCCCACATGGCATGCTTCATTGTGCAGCGCACGCCCCTTTCCCTTGACATTGCCATAGCCCTCGCCGCCAACATCGTTACCCACACCGTTGCCGCAACTTGCCCCTGATCATGGGACATAAGTCTAATTTGTCAAGGGCTGGGCCATAGTATGCTTTGCTGTTCATATTTTGGTCTGCCTAGCAGTGGCAAGCGGGACAACGACGGTTGCCCAAGGAGATGAGGGAGGAGCGGGGGAGCCGGGGAATGGCACAGGCGATGCAACACCGACCGATGGCCGAGGTGCGGCGCCGTCAGCAGTGGCGAATCCCATATGTGGTTTGGGAGATGTGGGGCTTGCTTCCACAGAGGACCAACCCGTGGTGGGAAGCCCGGTGGTGGTGGGGTCACCAGGTGTGGAGGCGGGGGGGCTGCAAAGAACTGGTGCAGTTGAAGAGGAGCGCAGTGCCGGCTGCCTGGTTGTGCCGGATGAAGGCGCAGTGGCCCCTAGCGTTGGGGGGCTCGGCCTAGATGAAAGGTATGGGATGCATCTGCCAAACCCATTTCTCCCATGAGGAGGTCGCCATCGCACAACTTAACATCTCAACTGCAACCCTCACTGTACCCGTGCCAACATCCCTTTTACAGTCCGGCGGGGGTGGCGGTCGGGAAAGCGTGCAGGCGCACGCGGTTTCCACGTGGCTGGCGCGATACGACATCTGAGCTGACGGACAAGCATGGGGCGGTGTGTTTCCTAGACCCTCTGTTGTTGCTGAACTTCTTCATGGTGGCGCGTCTGATGTGTTTGAGGGGGACATCCTGCATGGGTCGAATGCGACTGCGCTCGGCAAAACTGAAGTGGGCTCGCTCGACACATGCCGTTATGTGCGCGAGTTCTGGACCACAAAGCGTGGTAAGGTGACTGCTAGTGCTGGTCCACAAGGCCCTAAGACATCGCTATTCTTACCCCGCTTTCTAGGGGCGTTCGCGAAAGCGAGTCTAGGGTTCCAGCATCTTTCAGAGGTCAGCCGCACGCTGGGGCTGGAGTCGATGGGTCGTGAGACATTCTACCGTTACATGCGTCGTCCACTCGGGTTATGGGAAGCAATCATCATGGAGAGTGAGGACAGCATGGAAAGGGTGCGAGAACTGATGGGGAAACGGCCTGTCCCAGGAGAGTTCGTGTGCGTAGACGGTAGATGCTTGCAGGTGAGAGAGGGCCGATCGTGTACTGTTACGTTTATGGACCCAGTCTCTCGTAAGATCCTGTACTGTGTCACGCTGAATAAGGAAAATGAGAAGGTGTCGTCTACAGCGTTAGAGCGGCTGGCCTTCGAAATGGGTTTGAAACAACTAGAGGCCATGGGTTTCCATGTGAAAGGCATCATTTCAGATGATGGCGGATCTTTCAAGGCAGCCATTGTCGGTCGCGATATCACTCATCAGATGGATGTGTGGCACAAGGGGCGAGCTCTCACGCGAAAGTTTGTGAAGGAGTTGGTAGATGTGCTTAGTCCAGTACTGAGCGTGAGCGATGCTGAGAGTTGCGCGGACCTGTGGTTGCTTGGACGAAAAGAGCTTTGGGGATGGCTAGAGAAGCAGAAGGAGATTCGAGGTACTGTCAGTGCCACCTCGCAAAAGCCGACGATGATTAGAGCAGTCTGTGCAACCATGGGCAAGTTCGCGTTCGATGCCGCAGCCAAGCCCCCAACCAGGTTCCTGTACGAGGAGATGCGGAAAGTCCAGTGTGTGGCACGACATATGGTGGGTGAAGGCCCCCCTCGACGAAAGCGTTGTCGCAAGGACACCGACGCTCAAGGGGTGAAGGAGAATGCCGCACCTGAGGAACCTTGCAACGTTGACATGCAGCAAAATCTACCCGAGGGCTGCGCGCGACGTACTGCGGGGGGTGTGGGGTGCGTTGGTACCCACGACGCCGCCTTTGCTCCAGTTGTGGTGGGGTGTGAGGGCACCTGTCATCATGCTACAGGCCACAGTGAGGGCTGTGGGGGGGGCGCAGCAGACCTTTTAGAGATTGGGCTGGCGGACGTGGAAGTATTATTCGGCTTCGACCCGCATGCGTCGCATACAAGGCCGGACACCCTGTGCTCCATTTTCGTACGAGAGGCGGCCAACTCCATGACAACCGACCGAGATCCCGAATACTGTATGGAAGGCCTTGAAGACTTGATGCAGGGTGAGTCGACTGTACTTATTACATGGAGGTGTCCACACGTCTCGTGTCCGATACTTGTGTCCTTTCGTCACTCCTTATGCATTCCCTTGGCTCTCTTCCATGTGGAAATGTGTCCAGATCGAGACATACGAGTTGTCGAACCAAGGTACGGGGGTGGGGCTGTGGGCAGTGCAGTGGGGGCTGCATCCTCGCAGGCAGTGGCAGAGGGTGGATCTACTGAGGGTGGAGACACTGGCGTGGGTAGGAAGAGCCCAAGATGGGTGAAGAAGGTTGCACGTAAGCGGCAACGAGCAGAAGGGGTCACGGGAGGTGGTGAGGACGAGGGCCGGCTTACAACAGAGGAAGTGAGTGTGGCTCAACGATTCTGCATCCACTTCCACCACGTGATGTTGAGGTGTGCCACGCGTGCGCGTGCTGGGATTATAATGACCGCCCTCGACGTGGCTGCGGAGATCGCATGCTGCGCAGATCATTGGGCCGGTATCCATACTCATTGCCAACAGGATGGGGAGGTGCCACCACGGTGTGTGGCGGAGAAATGGGGCAGAGAAAGTGCCGTCTACGCACCAAACTCAACAACTCACAAGGCCTTCAAGATGTGGCTGGCTGATAACTGTGGGGAGGAGCAGATGATCCCTTACGTGATGGGGGCCAGCAATTGGTTAAACGAGTCGCTTCACTCGTTAATTACCAAGTACGCCACAAAACGGATCGCGTTTCAAGGTAGCATGGAGGCTAGGGTTGGGCTAACGGTCTTGCACTGGAACAACAGTTTGGAGTGTGTGGTGGTGGAGTGGGTGACGCGGGTGCGCGAAGCAACACACGTGCGACGTGGCAGCAAAGATCGGGTGTTAGGGCCAATGTGTTGGGATTGGGTTGAGGACATCCTGGCACGATGGCGGGTGATAGCGCTAAACAAAAAGCCACCTGTGCCGCACACTTCGGTCCCGGTGGCAGTGGCAGAGCAGGATGATGATGGGGGGATAGTGGATTTTAACACCAACGGAGCAGTGCTTGACAGCCTTGACCCCGAGGTTCCAGTGTCGTCTAGCTTGCCAACCACAATGTGCAGTGACCTTTCGGAACTTGGCAGTGCAAACCAGCCAAGTTCTTCGAGGGAAAATATGGGACGGGTTGGGTGGGGGGTAGAAACCTGAATTTGTATTTTGCAGTGTGGGTGGGAATCGCGAAACAAAAAAGTGACTCGTATTTTTTGGTTCGCACTGTACCGAACTGTGTATGCGTCAAACAACATCCATTTTGTTTTTCTGAAACCGGTACGGTCAAAGGGTTGGTTGTGTTCGAAACATTCAACCGGTTCTCGCCCTGCAAACTTGGCAGAGGCGGAGAGGTGGCTCTCCGACAGATTGCGAGCTGCAAAACTGGCAGCCCTGCCAAGTTTCCAGCCCCTGTAGCCCACGCGAAACAGATGTTGAATTTGTGAAGCCCAGTCTTTGCCAAATAATTCGTTTCCATTATCCTTCGTCGTCCATTCAAGTTGTGCCGCCCCACCTACCTAAACAGTACAAATTTGCAACCTGCCAGGCGGGCTTTAAGTTGCACACTCTATGGCCCGGCAGTCGTCACAAATGCATGCGAGATTAGCTTGGTTTGTCGTTGCGGTACCTACACTCCTCAGCCTCCCGTCCCCTTCCCCCCTCCCATTCACGCCGATACACAGGTTTGCAGACTACGGCATGCTCGCCGATGAACGCCTGCCCTGAGCGACACTTGGCGTGTTTATGGGGGAGGTAAGCGCCCTATGTTGCAATTTACACGTGCATGCTGCAATCCTGTCATCCACCCTGCAATCCTCTCATGCCCAACGATGGGGGCAGCCTGCAATCATGTAGTCATGCTGCAGCCCAGTCAAGCATACTGTAGTCCAGTCAAGCATACTGTAGTCCAGTCAAGCACACTGCCCCCGCTAGCGCTATTGCAATCCTGTCATGCACCTTGCAACCCATTCATGCCGCAGCACCCATTTCAAGCTGCACCATATTCACATGATAGCCCGGCACACATCCGCCCGTTTCATGCTGCAAAATTGCACTCAAGTTGCCACAACCAATTCCTGCCACTGCAATATTTCAGCGTTTTGCTAGCGTGTCCTATGGATATATCGTTCTGCCAAACCGTGCCATCTGCATCCTTGCATTGCAAGCGCTGCCCTCCCACAGGGCCCTACACTGTTGCACACCTCTGGCTCCCCATGGGCCCCTCACATCCTTTAATTTTTATCTTTTCCCCACCCCTCTATAACCACAGCAGCACTCTTCCACGTCCTGAATTTCGTGGTCCTCTAGTTCCGGTTGGACCCATGCTTCCAGTTGGGGATGGAAATGCTCCGCCGCATGGCAAGTTTCCTCTCCACAGTGATTGTGCTAATCTTTCCTGCGTAGACCACGTCGACCCTCTTCTTCGAACCCCTCTTTTCCCTGTGCTTTTGTAACATGCGTGTTAAAAATACATGACAGCTACATACATGGACTCAATCAGCTGATGGATGTCTTACAACACCGCTATTCTTAAAACTATCTAACTGCGCTCTACCAAGAAGTCCTATCAAAATCGATCACCTCAGGAACCACCCACTCATTGACAAAACGATCGATCTGATCCTGATCGCAGTGCTCATCTAATCCGCCGGGCTCCTCAGGGTATAGGGATCCAATGACGACGTAAACTAGCCAAGGCAGCTGCACACGCGCCCACTCATGCTCGCCTAGCAATCTCGAGTACTCCACATAACAACAAAATCTGTGATTTCTAGGAAGAGCTGGATTTCCCTGTCGGTCTACTGTGGAATTTTCTCCGCAGCAAACATGGACAACTGCCTCCACCGTCTTGTCCTTGTCGTACCCATAGTACAACGACTCCTGTGAGAACCCAAGGGAATTGGTGGCCCACTGCTCCAACACAGCGTTCTGCTTCGGGAAATCCTTAGCAAAATCAACCAGTGACAGCACCCTGGACGGTGCGAATAGCACTGGTGCTTTGCCTGTTGGGGCCCGCTCACGTCGTGTTGCCACACGCCCGTCCGTATGGATGCTGCTTTCTCCCCCTCCACTCAGACCAACCTGCCTCCCTCGCCGAGCTTGCCTCCTTACGCTCCAGCGTATAGGGCGCTTGTCCTCACGGTCGCTGTCCGACTCTTCCCCCTCAGTTCCCAAGCGAGTCCCGAGGCGACGCTTCACCCACCGGGACCGTAGCATGTTTGGGAGAGCGGACTCGTGCGTACGAACCTGCCACGGGAACGGATGGCATGGGTTGTGGGATTTCGACGCATGTTTAGTTGGAGAGGGATGGAGATGTGTAGCAGACGGTTTCACGGGGGGTTGGTGGGGGGGGGGGGTGAGCAGCAGAGAGTGGGGGCAGAAGAGAGTGGGGGCAGCAGAGAGTGGGAGAATTAGAGAGTGGGAGAAGCAGAGAGTGGGAGAAGCAGGGAGTGGGCGCAGCAGAGCGTGGGAGAAGCAGAGAGTGGGCGCAGCAGAGAGTGGGAGAAGCAGAGAGTGGGCACAGTAGAGAGTGGGAGAAGCAGAGAGTGGGCGGAGCAGAGAGTGGGAGAAGCAGAGAGTGGGCGCAGCAGAGAGTGTGGGCAGAAGAGAGTGGGGGCAGCAGAGAGTGGGCGGAGCAGAGAGTGGGAGAAGCAGAGAGTGGGCGGAGCAGAGAGTGGGAGAAGCAGAGAGTGGGCGGAGCAGAGAGTGGGGGAAGCGGAGAGTGGGGGCAGCAGAGAGTGGGGGCAGCAGAGTGTGGGGGAAGCAGAGAGTGGGAGAAGCAGAGAGTGGGAGAAGCAGAGAGTGGGCACTGCAGAGAGTGGGAGAAGCAGAGAGTGGGAGAAGCAAAGAGTGGGAGAAGCAGGGAGTGGGCGCAGCAGAGCATGGGAGAAGCAGAGAGTGGGCGCAGCAGAGAGAGGGAGAATTAGAGGGTGGGAGCAGGAGAGCATGGGAGGAGCAGAGAGTGGGGGCAGCAGAGAGCGGGCGGAGCAAAGAGTGGGAGAAGCAGAGAGTGGGCGGAGCAGAGAGTGGGAGAAGCAGAGAGTGGGAGAAGCAGAGAGTGGGCGGAGCAGAGAGTGGGAGCAGCAGAGAGTGGGGGGAGCAGAGAGTGGGCGGAGCAGAGAGTGGGCGGAGCAGAGAGTGGGAGAGGAAGAGAGTGGGCGGAGCAGAGAGTGGGAGAAGCAGAGAGTGGGCACAGCAGAGAGTGGGAGAAGCAGAGAGTGGGCGGAGCAGAGAGTGGGAGAAGCAGAGTGTGGGAGAAGCAAAGAGTGGGAGAAGCAGGGAGTGGGCGCAGCAGAGCGTGGGAGAAGCAGAGAGTGGGCGCAGCAGAGAGAGGGAGAATTAGAGGGTGGGAGCAGGAGAGCGTGGGAGGAGCAGAGAGTGGGAGGAGCAGAGAGTGGGGGCAGCATCGAGTGGGCGGAGCAGAGAGTGGGAGAAGCAGAGAGTGGGCGGAGCAGAGAGTGGGAGAAGCAGGGAGTGGGAGAAGCAGAGAGTGGGCGGAGCAGAGAGTGGGAGCAGCAGAGAGTGGGCGGAGCAGAGAGTGGGCGGAGCAGAGAGTGGGAGAGGAAGAGAGTGGGCGGAGCAGAGAGTGGGAGAAGCAGAGAGTGGGCACAGCAGAGAGTGGCAGAACAGAAGCAGAGAGTGGGCGGAGCAGAGAGTGGGAGAAGCAGAGAGTGGGCGGAGCAGAGAGTGGGGGCAGAAGAGAGTGGGGCCAGGAGAGAGTGGGCGGAGCAGAGAGTGGGAGAAGCAGAGAGTGGGCGGAGCAGAGAGTGGGAGGATCATAGATTGGGAGAAGCAGAGAGTGGGAGAAGCAGAGGGTAGGATAAGCGGAGAGTGGGGGCAGCGGAGAGTGCGGGCAGCAAAGAGTGGGGGAAGCAGAGAGTGGGAGAAGCAGAGAGTGGGCACTGCAGAGAGTGGGAGAAGCAGAGAGTGGGAGAAGCAGAGAGTGGGAGAAGCAGAGAGTGGGAGAAGCAGAGAGTGGGAGTAGCAGAGAGTGGGGGCAGCAGAGAGTGGGCGGAGCAGAGAGTGGGAGAAGCAGAGAGTGGGCAGATCAAAGAGTGGGAGAAGCATAGAGTGGGAGAAGCAGAGAGTGGGAGAAGCAGAGAGTGGGAGAAGCGGAGAGTGGGGGCAGCAGAGAGTGGGGGAAGCAGAGAGTGGGAGAAGCAGAGAGTGGGCACTGCAGAGAGTGGGAGAAGCAGAGAGTGGGAGAAGCAGAGAGTGGGAGAAGCAGAGAGTGGGAGAAGCAGAGAGTGGGAGGAGCAGAGAGTGGGGGCAGCAGAGAGTGGGCGGAGCAGAGAGTGGGAGAAGCAGAGAGTGGGCGGAGCAGAGAGTGGGAGAAGCAGAGAGTGGGAGAAGCAGAGAGTGGGTAGAGCAGAGAGTGGGAGCAGCAGAGAGTGGGCGGAGCAGAGAGTGGGCGGAGCAGAGTGTGGGAGAAGCAGAGAGTGGGCGGAGCAGAGAGTGGGAGAAGCAGAGAGTGGGAGAAGCAGAGAGTGGGCGGAGCAGAGAGTGGGCGGAGCAGAGAGTGGGAGAGGAAGAGAGTGGGCGGAGCAGAGAGTGGGAGAAGCAGAGAGTGGGCACAGCAGAGAGTGGGAGAAGCAGAGAGTGGGCGGAGCAGAGAGTGGGAGAAGCAGAGAGTGGGGGCAGCAGAGAGTGGGGGCAGAAGAGAGTGGGACCAGCAAAGAGTGGGCGGAGCAGAGAGTGGGAGAAGCAGAGAGTGGGCGGAGCAGAGAGTGGGAGAAGCATAGAGTGGGAGAAGCAGAGAGTGGGAGAAGCAGAGAGTGGGAGAAGCGGAGAGTGGGGGCAGCAGAGAGTGGGGGCAGCAGAGAGTGGGGGAAACAGAGAGTGGGAGAAGCAGAGAGTGGGCGCAGCAGAGAGTGGGAGAAGCAGAGAGTGGGTGCAGCAGACCGTGGGTGCAGCAGAGAGTGGGAGAAGCAGAGAGCGGGAGAAGCGGAGAGTGGGGGCAGCAGAGTGTGGGGGCAGCAGAGAGTGGGAGAAGCAAAGAGTGGGCGCAGGAGAGAGTGGGGGCAGCAGAGAGTGGGAGAAGCAGAGGTTGGGAGAAGCAGATAGCGGGCGCAGCAGGGCGTGGGCGCAGCAGAGAGTGGGAGAAGTAGAGAGTGGGCAGAGCAGAGAGTGGGAGAAGCAGAGAGTGGGCGCAGCAGAGCATGGGAGAAGCAGAGAGTGGGCGCAGCAGAGCGTGGGTGCAGCAGAGAGTGGGAGAAGCAGAGAGTGGGCACAGCAGGGCGTGGGCGCAGCAGAGAGTGGGAGAAGCAGAGAGTGGGCGGAGCAGAGAGTGGGGGCAGCAGAGAGTGGGAGAAGCACAGAGTGGGCGCAGCAGAGAGTGGGGGCAGCAGGGAGTGGGAGAAGCAGAGAGTGGGAGAAGCAGAGAGTGGGCGCAGCAGGGCATGGGCGCAGCAGAGAGTGGGAGAAGCAGAGAGTGGGCGGAGTAGAGAGTGGGGGCAGAAGAACGTAGGAGAAGCAAAGAGTGGGCGCAGCAGAGAGTGGGGGCAGCAGAGAGTGGGAGAAGCGGAGAGTGGGGGCAGCAGAGAGTGGCCCGACAGTGGCCCGTGCATCGGGCGCGTGGATAAAGGACCCGACAGTGGCTGGGGGGGTGTGGCACAGGCACCGTACCTCGGTGTTGAGGGGTCGTGCCGCTTGGCAGAGTGGCAGGCAGGTCCGCAGGCCTAGCGCCACTGCTGTGCGTATACCGTGCCACGTCCCCGCGGTATTGGTGGCTGTAGTTTCTTCGCGTGGGGCTTTGCTCCAGCAGAGAACCAAGGTGGTGTCACCGTCGTGGTATCAGCACGTCGGTGGCATCACAAATCTTCCTAGTCCCACGAGCCCTCGCAAAGCACGCATCGCAAAAAGTGTCACGTTCGCAAAACGTTTACGCCATTTTGGGCGAAGCACAAAGTTGGAGATCATCCGCAAAGTGTTCGCCAAGTATTTGTTAATCGTTTCGATTCATGTGAACGGTTTGCGAGTGTTGCGCGGTTGAGATGTTTTGCGGATGCATTGTTGTGGAAAGGTTACAAAATACTGCATTGTTGTATTTGCGTAACTTAAAGGCTCATTAAAGTGTTAATTTTCACCATGGTTATTGTATAGAAATGGTGAAATGGTTTTTGCATTGCATTGTCTGTCTTTCACAGTGCAGCAGCAATTGATGGCACGGAGTCTAGCATGCTCGTGCAAAATCGTCGGAAGTGCGATTGTTAGCACATACTTATGGTAGTCGTAATGAATGTAATTTATAAAGTCAGGGTGGCAGGGGACACGTGCATGTCGAGTCAGAAGAGAAAACGGTTAACAAGCCGGTACTCAGGCTCTGTGCAGCTTGGGACTACATGGGCAAGGCTTAGGATGCAATCCATGTCAATGACAGCGTAGTTGTCGATGCCCGTCGTTGGGCTCAGGCGCTTGCACCCGGTGTCCGGGCATGGCCGCGGGTGCTCGGTGTAGTACTGAATGTAGGCGGCACGACCCTCCACACCTGCATCGTCAAGGTAGTGGAACAGCACGAGGGCCCGGCCGTACCACGGTGGGCCGACTCCATCTGCGGG